TATTCCAATAAATAAAAATGCTTCTATCAGAAACTAGGTTTGGTAATGCTGTCAATGTTTATGATGTGTGGAAAAGATGTAGATCTACATACATATATCTGTAATCAACTATAGATGAAGATATCTAGAAAGTTTGGAATATGGTCACTGAGGCAAAAAAAAAAAAAAGGTGACTATCTTTCTTGGAGTAAACTTATGAACCATCCATATATTTAGGTTAGATATAAACCATAGCTTCTAGATTGGAGGCAATATTAGAATTGGGAAAATTTACTAAGATAGACTATGTGCTTCTTTCTCCTGAAAAATAAAAGTTGGCCAGAGGTGGCAGCTCATGCCTGTAATCCTAGCACTTTGGGAGGCCAAGGTGGGTGGATCACCTGAGATCAGGTGTTTGAGACCAGCCGGGCCAAAATGGTGAAACCCAGTCTCTATGAAAAATAAAAAATAAAAATTAGCCGGGCGTGGTGGTGGGCATCTGTAATCCCACCTACTCAGGAGGGTGAGGCAGGAGAATTGCTTGAACCTGGGAGGCAGAGGTTGGAGTGAGCTGAGATTGTGCCACTGCACTCTAGCCTGGGCGACAGAGTGAGACTCCATCTCAAAACAAGAACAACACAAAGAAGGCATAGAAAATTTATCCTAAAAGCACGTGTATCCTTGCTATTTGGGAGGGCAGGAGTTTTAACATTAAACGTAAAATAACTGAAAAGATTTTTAAAACATAATTACTGTAGTCTATCTAAAGCTACTATTATTACTGCCATCATGATTATTATCATTATTATTTGAGACAAGGTTTCGTGCTCTATAACCCAGCGGGGAGTTCAGTGATGTGATCACGGCTCACTGCAACCTCAACTTTCTGGGTTCAAGTGATCCTTCCCTCTTAGCCTCCTGAGCAGCTGGGACTACAGGTACAAGCCATCACACCCAGCAAATTTTTAAATTTTTTGGGGGACGGGGTTTCACTGGTTGCCTAGGTTGATCTTGAACTCCTGGGCTCAAGCAATCCTCCCACCTTGGCCTTCTAAATTGTTGGGGTTACAAGCATGAGCCACCATGCTCAGCATAAAGCTATTATTTTAAATTAAAACTGTGGTGCGCTTTTTTTTCTTTTTCCCCAAGATTTATCATTGAAAAAGTCATCAAAAAGACACATATGATGACTTTTCTCTAAATAGAATAAAGCTGACTCAGAAAAGTATGCTAAGGTACCATAAATAATGTAAAACTTGTGATCTAATTTTAAAAAGTGACACTTAAGTTATTGCAGAAAATACACTGAGATATATAAAATGAAAATAATGGGCTTAGAGATGAAAATTATTCAGAGAATCCATATTATACTTAGATTTTTTAAATTTTATTTTGGCCATCAATGATCTGCACACTAGGAGACTATGACATTGTAGTGAACAGGTGAAATACTTTATAAAGTTAGGGAAAATGAACTCTCAAGTTAAAAACTGGATGTTCTATTAGAGTGATATGCTCTAATAAATATTTTAAGTATTTGAGTCATACAGCAAAATGAGTGCATTAGCTTAAAACCCAGCAAACAAAATCTCTCTATACTGACTTTCACTTTGAATGACTAAATCTAATGGGGTGGGATAAAAATTCCAACAACTAGGAGTAGAAGAAAACATGTAATTTCTATAGGATAATGGACGCTAAGCTGGGCACACAGGTGGTATTAATAAACCTTGTCTGAGTAGATTACACTAACACAGACGGCTGAAAATTGTATAAGCACATAAGCAGTGAACTATCAGGTTGCCAAAAGACAAGCCAAACAATTGTCATCTTTATCATCCCAAATTATGGGTAATTATTAGTTTTTAGAGTGGGAAATTTAATAAAATAAAGTAGAAACATGCTGAAATTCGGAGAAAAGTATAATATACAATATTGAAATTATTCGGACAGAAATATTTTAATTATTATACAGATTTCTGTATTCTAAACAATTCCTTAACAATTTTGCTTGGAAGTTAAAGTATTGAAGTTATATTTTTATTTTTTTTTAGAGGGTCTCACTCTGTTGCCTAGGCTGGAGTGCAATGGAACAGTCACAGCTCATAGCAGCCTCAACCTCCTGATTCAAGTGATCCTCATGCTGCAGCCTCCTGAGTATCAGGGACTACAGGAGTGTGGTACTATGCCTGGTTAATTTTTGTATTTTTGGTACAGATGGTGTTTCATCATGTTGCCCAGGCTGATCTCAAAATCCCGGATTCAATTGATCCCTCAACCTCCCAAAGTGCTAGAATTACAGGTGTGAGCCACCATGTCAGCCTGAAGATTTTAAATGAATTCTTTTCACCTACACATTTTCTCTTGTTATCAGTGCTAACCACCTCATCTTTATGCTACTCAGGTAATTTTTACACATGTAACTCCAAAAACAGATTTTCCTTCTATTTGCTCTCATCCTGGAATATGCATGTGGCAAAAGTGTTTTTTCTTAAAAATAGATGTCCCAGAGCTATATCCTAGACCCTCTTTTCTTTTCAGTTTTTCCCCAGTTCTAATTACTAGTGATTGGGTAACTTGATTTAGACTTGATATTTACAAAAATAGCACAAATACACAGCATCAACCTAAGTCTTACAGCCAAAAAGCCAAGACTTTATTAAAATGCACACTAGAATAAGGAAAACAAAGGACTAGACGTATATTGTAACAATCCCTAATTTCCTAAGAAGAGGGAAAAAAGCCTAAACTTGCACAATAGCATCTTTCTTATATAAGATACGTGCTGAGCTGTCACTGACTGGAAGAAAAATTAACTTGCATCATAATTTTTTCTTCAAATTACAGGAATATATATATATATATATTTAAAAAGCACATTATACTACTTGTATTTATGTAGTCTGAGAATCAGATTTCCTCTAGCTAGATATATTGAAGAATATTAAAATGATTCATATCTTCAAGCAGGGAAAAACACATGGGTCAATTTTAACAGCACTTATCTATATTATTCAAGGAATCTGAATAGTGGAGTTTCAATATAAAAAAGGCACAATTCATCAAGAAGTGGATTTATTTGGAACCAATCTAAATGCTTGATGAACTATTTTCTGAAGACATTCACTACAAAGCAAAAATTAATCAGAAATGTTGAAAAAATGAAACTATCAAAATTTCTTACTGTAATTTATTACACTTTAGAAATATCAACACACTATTATAGAAAAACACAACTTAACTTCATAAAAATAAACTCTCTTCTAAGATTTAGAATCTTAAAAACACTATCTCAAAGGATAAAAATCTGTGTAGCTTTAAGGTAACAATTAAAAACGTACTCACCGGAAATTAAAGGTAATTCTGTAAGAAGAAAGAACATTCAGTTTGAATGTTAGGATTCTGCATTCACCCCAGTACACTGATAGGTGAAAATGAATAAAGAAGAAAAAGAAGAAAAGTGGAATAAAAATGTAGGTGGTATCGCAAACTAACAAAATGTGTATTAATTTAATTCAGAACAGGAATTGATCCCTGCTTTCTGAGGAAAAAATGATTTCATACCATGACTATTAAAATGATATGTACTATGACAGTGAAATACTTGCAAGGCATGGAATAAAACAGAAGTGGAAATAATCATCATTTTTTTCTACAAGCCTTTACCTTTTCACAGGTTCTGTCTGTACCAGGGCAGCATCTAACATGGCTTTCATCCACAACTCCATTTCCTTTCCTGTATCAGTGCAGAAATAATAGGTCCGCATGTTTGGATGGGCTGCCTGATTGAAAATGACACGATCATTTTAAATAAAAATATAGGATTCTGTAAAAGAAAAAGAAAAAAAGATAAGTGATTCCTGACATAGAACATTGCTATCAAATTTCAGAGTAAGTAGACTTATCTTTTATATGAGATATGGAAATCAATCAAGAAAAATATAGCTATTAACCTGAAAAATATATATTAATTTTCCCCCCTAACTTTACCCTTTTTCTTTTAGTTGTGTGCACACTCTAAAATTAAAAAAAAAAAAAAAGGGCATGGAAAGGAAAGGAGGTGAGAAATGAAGTACTTAGTGGTGCCTCTTCCATCTCCACATTTCTAACAACTTCCATTTACTGCAATTCACACCTCTTTTTTTTTGAGACAGAGTCTCATTCTGTTGCCTAGGCTGGAGTGCAGTGGCACGATCTTGGCTCACTGCAACCTCTGCCTCCCTGGTTCAAGCAATTCTCCTGCCTCAGCATCCTGAGTAGCTGGAATTACAGGCATGTGCCACCATGCCCAACTAATTTTTGTATTTTAGTAGAGACGGAGTTTTGCCACGTTGGCCAGGCTGGTCTTGAACTTCTGACCTGAAGTGATTTGCCTGCCTCAGTCTCCCAAAGTGCTGGGATTACAGGTGTGAGCCACCATGCCCAGAATAAGAATATTTATTTAAGAATAAACATTCTTTATTCAAGAATATTCCCAGCAACCAGCAACAAAATTAATAGGAATGTACATGTTATGGCATTTCCCTCCTGTGTAACCAATTTCTTTAGGCGTCAAAAGGCACTGCTGTATTTTATAGGATCCTTTAAAGATATCTACACCCAAACACAAAAGATTTATAAATGATCCAAAATGGTGTTTCCTTTTTGAGCTGTTCCTTAATAAACTGCTCAAATGTTCTATGTTAAGATAATTAAAACCACCTACAAAGTGTTACTGGACCCTCTGAGTGGGGTTTTGGAAAAATAAAGACCACTGCCCATATTTGTGATCAATCTAAGGAACACTGGGGCTGGTGTCAAGACGATCCAGTTCCAGCCATGACTCAAGACACTAAGAGTCCCCACCCATGCTCGCCATCAGTCAAATGGAAATATTTACTAGATGATGTCAAAGTACGCAGTCTAGCTTTAAGTTCCATGCTTGTGTTCAATAATTGTCTATAAAGTTTCTACTTACCATTCTGATAAGCACTTGCATCAATGTCAACAAACTTAGCAGTGAAGCAGCTCACACATTCAGAGGAAACAATACCACAGAAGAGAGAAAGTGAAACAGCAATTACTATTCTTGTTACAGATAAAATTAAAACTAAACCAAATAATTGCAGAGAAAATATACTTAACATGCATGGTCACTTTTATTGCTATTTTAGCATTCTAGTATTTTTTAAGAGTCTAAAAACGCAGAAAAAAGTCCTACAAATAGCACAAATTGATAAACATTTGCTAAACTGATAAACAACAAAAAAATTTAAATTCATGGCCAAATAATAGTGCTACTATCATGCACCTCTACATGTGTACTTCATAAAGTTATAATTTTAAATTTTCAAAGTGTTAACCTTTGTTATAACATCATAAAATATTTAATTATGTTTCTCTGGTTTACACTGTTGATAAAAGTTTATTTTGATAAAGTTAATTTAAATATGAAAATACTCCCCTCTTATCCTCAGGTCTTTGCTCAAGTTACATTACCTTCTCATTGAGGCTGTCCATCACACAACCCCTTAACCTCACCACTATACCTTTCCTGTTCATACTTGGCTAATTTTGTATTTTTAGTAGAGACGGGGTTTTTCCA